GTGTTGAAAATCCGAATCTTGTTCCTTATTCTGATTGAGTGCAGGAGATCTCCAGACTGGTTTCAGGTTGATGAAGGCGTACCTCGCTAATCGGTGGTCCAGCGTAATCCTGTCTTCTCACTCTCAACGCACAGTCTGACGCATAATACAGTACACCACAATTAGGAATAGCATCGTTGGTGATAATAGACAGCCAGCTTGTCTTACCCCTGTATTCATTTCGAACGCCTCACTGAGATTCCCGTTGTGGATCACCTGACACGTGGCATTGTCATATAGCCAGCTGTTGAATGAGGTTGGTAAAGACTTTGACACTGCACGCCGTAGTGTTCAAGTATTTTCGAAAATGCGTCTCGGTCAACGCTGTCTGTCGAAGGACTTTTCGAAGTCGATGAAACCGAGGTAGATGTTTGTCTGATATTCTATGCTTAGTTCTGTGATGACGATGACTAAATAATATAATAAATGAGTATTTTTCGAGATGACTAAACCAGCAATTTGATTAGAACATGATTTGCCCTTCCTGAATGCAGCCAGCTTGTTCAGTGTGGGGGGCGGAGTTCTGTATCTAGTGCATCTTTTGTTCTCTCCAGGATGATGCGACTTAGTATTTTACTTGGGGTGGAAAAGAGCATTACTCCGATCCAGCTCTTGCACAGGCCTAAGTCCTCCTTCTTTTGTAGCTTGACAAGTTAGCCTTTCTTCCAATCGGTAGGCGCCATTCCTTCCTTCCAAACCTTTTGCAATAATGGTGTGAGAACATCTGCCACAGTCCCTGGGACCGTCTCCAGTGCTTCTTTCTTCTCCTTGGTAATCAGCTTCCCTTGAACATCGCTTATTGACTTCATCATCTGAGTTCATCTCTTCTTGGATAGAGACCTGCTTATCTGATATGATGTCCTGAGGTCTCTTTTACCTGCAGTCTGCTTGTTCTGCTTCAGTTTCCGGCCAGTGTGTCGTAGAATTGTCTTCCCTAGCACTCCTCTTCACGTCTTTCTTGATTCAGTTCAGTGTATACAGACAGCTGTGAACTCAGCTTCTCTTTCTCCTGTTATCCATCTTTGCATTGATTCATCTCTTTCACCATCCTACTCTCCTCGATTAGCTTCCAGGTAGGTGTCCGTTGAGAGCCATTCCTTGTCATGTCTGTTCTTTCTTCCTAGGACAGTTGTACACGTTTTCATGAACATCATCTCCAGAGAGTTAGTTCCAATGTTCTTCCACGCAGGTTTTGTCGGTGATAATACGTACTGTGTCTCTGATTTTGCTCTGATCTGGTCTGTAGCGAAGACATCATTTGTAGTTATGTCCTTCAGTTTCTGAGTGTTGAACCTGAATTGTAACCTGTCACCACTTGTTTTGAGATATTTGCGCTACACTTTGAATGTTCCTTGAAGTATATGTTGGTCCAGGCCCAAATCTTCTCCCCTTCTGGACATTTTGTCCAGAAAGCCTCATAGCCACTTCCTTGTGCCAGATTGAGGTTAAATTTATCTGATTCGCGTTGTGTCCATCAGGCGATATCCATCTTGGTTTTGTGTATATCTCTATCCTTGTAAACGCTGCCCGCTATCATCAAATCATTGTAAGCTTGGAATTCTGCGAATAATTCTCCTTTCTTTTTCATTTCTCCGAGCGTAGCCTCTCAACCCATGATGAGTTCTCTTCCTGTAATATATGGTCCCAGTTCAGTTGGTGTTCATACCGCTCATGGGGATTTCGATGTCACTGTTTGGGATTTCGTCCATTACTGTTGCTAGTTGCTTGTAAAAATCTCCCTTCTTCCGCATTTTTGTAGCTCCGCGCATAGCATTGGATAATTGTGACCTTCCTTCCTTCTTTTTGAGTTAAGTCTTGCTGTCATAATCCTGTGGTAGGAGACCGCTTCCCACTACATTAGGGCTTTGGCTGCCACTGGTGACATTATTATGGCGGCTCAATGCCTCATTATGCTCGTGGTTGTCGTCTGGGTGACCAGACCGGAGTAGATTACTGACTATCCAGTTGACAATTTTGATAATTCACATCCACTCCATCTGCTCTCGAAGATATCAAGCACCTCTGAGCTATGTCTTCTCATTTCTTTGGCTACTTGGGCAGCCTTCCCAGTCTTGTACCTTGTACGTACATCCCACTTCCCCGTTTTTAGTATTGCTTTCATTGAAAGAAAACAAATCGGCTGGCTGACTGGCTTCTCGAAGTCCGGATTTCACCAACCCTCTGTATCTTTTCGCCCCTCTGATTCGAGCGAAGTATAATGTAGTTATTTGAGTGTTTTTTATTTTTAATATATTTTCTTTGCGTTGAAGTTTCTGCAGCACTTTGTGGTGTATTTCATCTTGCTAGATTTTACTTTGAAGGTGACAATTTAGGAAGACTACCTGAAGCACATGCAGTGGACATTTCATCACTCGGTCACCTAAAATATGAACACAAACAATCCTCATAACCCCCATTCAAATAACTGAAAACGAGGCAGTTAGTTCGATTATGGTAGGCTTTTGCGTGCTAAAATGAACAGTTATTATTTCTGCCCTGACTCTTTATAGACCGACTGTTATTTTCCACTACAATTGTGATTTCTGATTCCTTATTAATCGGGGCATATCACCGAAGTCTCTATATACATACACTAACAAATGCCTAGTATATAGTACTAAAGTGCTAATGCATACTGTGCTATTTGGAACGTGGCAACTCGAACTGCTGCACTTCGGTGCCAAGTTCTATGTTGAATCCAGACCAGACAGACAGCATACTGTGCTAGAACCTCTCGTGCTGTAGTCTAATCTGCTCATCCTAATGCTATCTCTATGTTAGGAATGACACCTGATTTCATCTCGTTGACCGTCACATCGAAATTGCATCCTTTCTCAAGTACTTTTATCTTTCTAGAGCTTAGTTCTCTTGATGAGAGATTAATCACCCACTTCACTTTACCAATAATCGATGAAACGGTGTTCTCAACTTTCCAATTTATTGTGTTGTTCTTTTCTTCCAACAATTTGTTGGATTTCTTGATTTGCATGTTTCTTGATTTTCTTAAGGCTGCTTCTTTAGCTTTTTTCTATGTTTCAAATGAAGTTTCATAATCTTTGCCACTGATTATACACTTGAGTTTTTCAATTTCATTTCGTATATTGTTTCGTTTCTTAATAACTCTATGGAGTTCTCCTCTTAGACATAATCTGCTGACAAATCCAACTGTTGCTGCAATTTCTCTTGTCATAATTGTAGTACGCAGGGAAACCTGTGACCGCATGATTTGAAATCTCTACTGACCATAAACAAAGAATTTGCAATGATAGGAGCAGTGAATTCGGTAAATTCGTCTGCAAAAATATGTCTAAGAAACTGCAGTCTGGGGTTATGTAAACATTTGTTATGTATACATAAGAATATTTACTCAAATGTTTGAGGGACACCTAACGACAATAGAAGCTATATTGCGACTGGATTAGATGCAGACCACCTGGTATACATAAAAGTGGCTACCCGTTCCCTATGCTCTTTCTTTGAAATATATCTGTCTTGTTGAAGTACCTTAAATCCATTTGTTGAAGACTCAGAATAAGTATTTCTTCAAAAAAGAAAAAAAAACATCTAAACTGACGGCATAAGATAGAAGCAAAGGATTACAACTGAAATAGAAATTTCATACATTTATGCAAATGTATTTGAATAAACTGACAACATGTCTTATACTGTCAGCGAATAAGTTTGCTTTTTGTTTTCATTTTTTGTATTTTAATATAATTTTTCTGCGTTTAAGTTTCTCTGGCAGTTTGACAGGTTTACTTGCGTGGCGTTGCTAGCCATACGCCCAACATTCTCTGTTTACTCGGGCGTGGGACCGCCTAGAAAACTAGCAATCTAGTTAGGTAGGTGAGGTTTTGCTTAGTGCTGTTACATCCCTATTCTCAATAAGACCTTGCGCTCAGACCCCCACCCCCCAGTTAAGTACAAATGAACTCAAATATAACGGTGACTGCTTTTAGTCTGACCACTATCTAAATGACTTCTCTGACATTGTAGTACCTGCAGGAACATTCATACCAACCGGTTTGACTGCTTGGGTACTTCCGATATGCATACCTGAATACTGCATCCAGGTAACAACTGTAGGTCAGGGTAGTAAGAAAGTGTTAGGAATGAACACTATATTTCTTTCACACTAGCTAACATGACGATTATTTGTTTGAGTACTTAAGTCAGGTGTGCACCAGCCATTAGAGATTACACGTTATCCATGAAAAAGGATGTCGTCTTGCGTTACGCGTGGAATATTAGTTTGCATGACCAAAGTGCTCCATTCACGAGGCACTAATTTATTCAAGACCTGACATTAACTGAAGAAAATTAAATTTGACAGAACAGAATATTGTGAAAGTAGGTCGTAGTTGTGATAAAACCGCTAACATACATTTTGGTGCACTGACATGTTATTATCTAAGTTTTACGTGATATATTTCTTTACCCCCCTGCGGAGTTTGATTCCAGCTTCTGAACGTCTATTAACAGCTCATAAATTTCAATGAAATATAGGTGCAGTCGCTCAGTATTTTGCACTAACTGTTGTTTTACTCAGGTATAGGTAGCCAGATAAAATCTTAGTAACCATGAAAGATGATAACAGTTATAACCAGGATGCACAAAGGCTGGTCAATTATAACATACGTTTTAGGTTTTTCTGTAAATTTAGTGATAAATGATGACCTGTTAAGTGGGCATTTATATCCCATCTACTGACTAGAGATTTTCCCAAAACTAAGAGTTTACTCGCATCAATGGACGCTTATACTCTGTTACTTTCTTACCCAAAACACACTGTCACCGAAAAAGTATGCAATACTGATACTATTCTTTGCATTTGAGTTAATATAAAGAAGAATAACTCATTCCACCTCAGACGGAACTATGAGTAGCAAAATCGATATATCGTTTGTTTGAGTAACAAATGGTCTTTTTAAAGGAGACGACATTTTTTATATGGCATACAAATGGATAAAAGTTTTAAAGCGAATCCGAAAACCAATCAGTGCTGTACGAAAAAGTAAATTTCTCTGCGATACATTGATACCACAGGACTCTATCCAAGAAGAGATCAACTCAGATCGTGAAATCAATAAACGATGTTCAAGGGAAGGTGATTACCAAGGAGAAGAAAGAAGCACTGGAGACGGTTGAGAGGCTACGCTCGGAGAAATGAAAAAGAAAGGAGAATTATTCGCAGAATTCCAAGCTTACAATGATTTGATGATAGCGGGCAGCGTTTACAAGGATAGAGATATACACAAAACCAAGATGGATATCGCCTGATGGACACAACGCGAATCAGATAAATTTAACCTCAATCTGGCACAAGGAAGTGGCTATGAGGCTTTCTGGACAAAATGTCCAGAAGGGGAGAAGATTTGGGCCTGGACCAACATATACTTCAAGGAACATTCAAAGTGTAGCGCAAATATCTCAAAACAAGTGGTGACAGGTTACAATTCAGGTTCAACACTCAGAAACTGAAGGACATAACTATAAATGATGTCTTCGCCACAGACCAGATCAGAGCAAAATCAGAGACACAGTACGTATTATCACCGACAAAACCTGCGTGGAAGAACATTGGAACTAACTCTCTGGAGATGATGTTCATGAAAACGTGTACAACTGTCCTAGGAAGAAAGAACAGACATGACAAGGAATGGCTCTCAACGGACACCTACCTGGAAGCTAATCGAGGAGAGTAGGATGGTGAAAGAGATGAATCAATGCAAAGATGGATAACAGGAGAAAGAGAAGCTGAGTTCACAGCTGTCTGTATACACTGAACTGAATCAAGAAAGACGTGAAGAGGAGTGCTAGGGAAGACAATTCTACGACACACTGGCCGGAAACTGAAGCAGAACAAGCAGACTGCAGGTAAAAGAGACCTCAGGACATCATATCAGATAAGCAGGTCTCTATCCAAGAAGAGATGAACTCAGATGATGAAGTCAATAAGCGATGTTCAAGGGAAGCTGATTACCAAGGAGAAGAAAGAAGCACTGGAGACGGTCCCAGGGACTGTGGCAGATGTTCTCACACCATTATTGCAAAAGGTTTGGAAGGAAGGAATGGCGCCTACCGATTGGAAGAAAGGCTAACTTGTCAAGCTACAAAAGAAGGAGGACTTAGGCCTGTGCAAGAGCTGGATCGGAGTAATGCTCTTTTCCACCCCAAGTAAAATACTAAGTCGCAACATCCTGGAGAGAACAAAAGATGCAATAGATACAGAACTCCGCCCACCACACTGAACAAGCTGGCTGCATTCAGGAAGGGCAAATCATGTTCTAATCAAATTGCTGCTTTAGTCATTGTCATCACAGCACTAAGCATAGAATATCAGTCAAACATCTACCTCAGTTTCATCGACTTCGAAAAGTCCTTCGACAGACAGCGTTGACCGAGACGTATTTTCGAAAATACTTGAACACTACGGCGTGCAGTGTCAAAGTCTTTACCAACCTCATTCAACAGCTGGCTATATGACAATGCCACGTGTCAGGTGATCCACAACGGGAATCTCAGTGAGGCGTTCGAAGCGAATACAGGAATAAGACAAGCTGACTGCCTATTATAACCAAAGAAGCTATTCTGAATTGTTGTGGACTGTATTATGCGTCAGACTGTGCGTTGAGAGTGAGAAGACAGGATTACGCTGGACCACCGATGAGAAGACTCTAGGAGATTTGGATTTATCAGACAATATATGTATAATACCACACAAAGTCGAAGGCTTAGAGGTAGGCGAAAAGCAGGAAACTGGCAGGAGAAGTAAGCAGTGAAGACAGGACTCCAGGTGGACATAGAGAAGATGGGGTAATGAAGGCAACCAGCTAACAAGAACAAAAACCACCAGTCACCATCAAATAGAGAGATTTAGCAGGGGTTACTTCCTTCACTTATCTAGGAAGCACCGTTTCAACCACGGGGACACGGAACGAATGAAGATGTCAAAGTCGGTCAGAATCGGTATGGCGAGGTACGCCTTCATCAACCTGAAACCAGTCTGGAGATCTTCTGCACTAAATTGGCATAAAGGACAAGATTCGGATTTTCATCACCAATGTCAAGTCGGTCATTCTATACGCGTCAGAAACTTGCACTGCGTGTCCCGAAGAGGATTTCCAACAAGCCACCACAGACTTTTATCAACAGCTGCCTTCGCTGACTCCATACTGAAGATCAAATGGCCAACCAGAAAGAATTAGTAACAAGAAACTCTGGCTGGGAACAAACCGACCAAGAGCCGATCGCTCAACAAATGTGTCAGAGAAAATGGAGGTGGGCGGAACATAAGTTGAGGAGACCGTCGAATGACATCACGCGCCAGTCCATAACTCGAGAGGAATCGAAATGGGGAGCAACGAATGGGTTGTCGGCGCGAGGGTGACATGTAGTAGATCATGTGAAGAGGAGATGAGATATAAGTATAAAACTTGGGCACTGTGGTAGAGTATAATTCCATTATAGATAAGATTTTATTTTGATAAATCGCACAGTGTTTACAGTTATATGAACTGAGAGAGAGAACTGAGATGAGAGATTGTGGGTAATCGTGGACCCGGGTGAAGAGGACAGAAGAAAATAGAAGAAAGTGGAGATGTGTTGTTGAAGGCCTACTTTTCATTCAGAATTCAAGGGAATAATAATAATATATAATAAGACGGAGTCACAGCTAGAGTAAGTATGTTTATTCTCTGGTTTCTTTGCCTCATATGGACACACACACACGCACACACAAAGTGAATCACATGAAATAGAAACACATTTTAGGGGAACGAAGTTAATGCTGAGTGGCAATTGAGATCGGTAAGTTCAACGGTTATCCAAATTTATGTATATCTGGTAAATTTTGTGTTTATTCTTATCCTGAGTAGAAGCTTGTGTTTCATAAACTACATGCCAATCGATTGTTATTGCTTTTAGGATCGATATTTCTCCTGGGATTTGTCTCGTTCACAGTTTGGCTGGTGGAACAGGTTCAGGGTTTGGATTACGCTTACTTGAAGAAGCACAAGATAACTTAGGCGTCCGTCTATGTTTAACTTTTAGTGTTATGCCATACTGCTATGGGGAGTCTCCACTTCAAGCATACAACATTTTGCTGTCTTTGGCTGGGTTGACGCGGTATGCCATATACAACATGTCTTCTTTTATTTGAGATAATGCGTGAGAATTTCTTTTTTGTTGATTGATCAATAATCCAGTTTAGTATATAGCATAATGTGTATACTTCTTTGTATGATATTGTTAAGTCTACTAAGCCTTAATGATTTTCGCCTGGTTAACTTTTGTAATAATGATAATAATAGCAGTTATTATTATTATTTTTATCATTAGTGCGTCGGTGGCATAGTGGTTAAGACTCATTGTCCGGGGTTCGATCCCCGGCCAACGCACTCCTTTACCTCTCTAAGCCAGAAGTAATGATGGTAAAGAGGAGAGGTTGGGCATAAGGCTAGCAACCCCATTCTGTAAAATTAAACACTACTACATAAACTTCAAGTCACTAACTTGAAGCCCTATATTCCACTGGGAACGTGAAGGAAAAATTATTATTATTATTTATTATATTTATCATCATTATCGGTATTATTATTGTTTCCGCGAGTTCCGAGTGAAGCACAGCGCTTCAGTTGCACATTCTCATTTTACAAGGTCCACTGCCGTGACCTTTAACTGGCTGTACGTCTACACACAAGCTTTCATTTGTTCTTCACATGACGTCAATGGCACCCTCGTACGTCCAACTCATCACTTCTCATTCTAGTTCCACTTGGTGGGCTGCCAGGTGTATTTCGTCACATCGATCTCTTTAGTGTATGTTCAGTTCATCTACATTTCCTTCTTTATATTTGTCATACAACACTTTCTTGGCTGGTTCACCACACTGTCAGAGTTCGTTGTTGCTTATACTTTCTGGTCGGCAATCTTATCTTCAGTATCTAGCGTACTCAGGTAACTGTTGATAAAAGTCTGTAATAGCCTGTTGGAAATGCATTAGGTGACGTCGCTGCCAGTCTTGGAGTATACGGAAGCACTGACTCGCTATTACTCTTCAATATTCTGATCCTTTCCCATCGGTTGAGTGCTGTAAATCTTAGGAAAAAACAAGAAGATAGTTGCGGTGAAGAAAATTTCCTTGACGAAGTTATCAACTAGGCCGTAAATTTGGGAATATATTATAAAGGCGTGAGATGGTGGCAGAATTATTTCCTGTAAAAGGTTGGATTAAAGCGGATAGCAAGATAAAAAGTATGTGACGCAATTACGGTTTAGAAATATAATTATAAGAAAAATAAGCAGGACGTTGGAAAAAAACATGGTCAGATAATAATTACTGAGAACAGAAAAGACTGTGTGATAAGACAGGAACTGTTCAAGTTTCTACGATTGTCCCTCAAACCTCCTGAAAGGCAAGCGAAAATTTACTTCTAGAAGAATGCCCTAAAAAACCATGAATATCCTAAGGCATTCTGGGAGGATTTCAGACTAGATCATATATCTCCCAAACTCAAGTACACAGTCTAAATAGCATTGGTGTCGTCATCTCTAGATTTTCTAAACTCGAACAGAATAGTTGAAGAAATTCTCACGTTCTTTATGAATTATCCTTTGATTTCAAGTTTCATAAATGTTACATGTCACCAGCAAAGAGGGGCAGCATGAATTGTTTTATATTTTAGACACTTAGAGAACTATGTGATAGCCCCCTGCCTCCAGTCATTTTGGATTTTTTCCTCCGGAATAAAGGTGCAAGTGAGTGAGATTTAATAAATCTATTAGGTGTTTGAATTTCCACTTATTTTAATGAGAAAATACTGTTGAGTGCATCTGAGAGTACCATGAAAGTTTTGACTATCTAAATTTTAAAGTGAATAAAATCTGCGTGATAGTGATTAGAATCGTGGAACCAAACTACCAATCTGTCTTGACTCATGTAGCTGATAACTTTCATGACTTTAATACTCTCGATGTTCTAAAATGTCTTAAAACGCTTAAGCCCTCACGTAGCCTTGGCCCTGATGGTATACCTGCATATGTTCTAAAACAATGTGCAGATGCTTTATGTTCTCCACTAACTAACATCCTAAATGCTTCTTCCTCCCAAAACGTTGTACCTGTTCCATGGAAAGACATTGAAATAGTCCCTGTCCCTAAACCTGGAAATAGCAACAACGTAAAGATCAGACCCATTGCCATCACTTCCCCGTTTCTAACGCTTATGGAAAAACTAGTACTTCTTAAACTCGAACCCTCCCTTAAAAGCTTTGAAGACCCCAAACAATTTGCCTACAGACAGGGTAGGAGCACTTTAGACGCTGCAGCCGTCTTACACAACATTATCGTCTCATTATTAGATAAAGGTGCCAAATACGTCCGCTGCACGTTTCTCGACTTCACTTCTGCTTTCGACTCTGAGTCCTGGGTCACTAACTAGTTGCATTCCTACTTCTCTAACAGAATGCAGTATACCGTATACAAAGGCGAATCCTCCTCTAATGTGCTCACAGAAGCTGGTGTCCTCCAAGGTGCTGTACTTTACCCACTTCTCTTTTCTTTCTTTCTACATGACCTATCATCTTCAAATGACATTAATTTTGTCAAATATGCTGATGACGTGACTGTATCTTTGCCTGTCAAATGTCAAAGTGACTGCACTAAAGTAAACGGCTTTTTATGAGATGTCAGCCAATGGTCCAAGGAAAACGGTCTCACCTTAAACCCCTCCAAATGCCAGACAGTTAATTTCACCTTTAGGCACAAACTTGACCTAAACAAACTGGTTAGAACTCACGAGGTGTGCAACATAGATGGAAATGAAATAGAAACCAAGTCTGAAATTAAATACCTAGGCGTCATTCTACCTGCTGATCTTTCCTGGTCGTCTCATATCTTGATGATTTCTAGGAGAATATTCCGTCTTACTCTCTACGTCAAGAAGTTAAAATATTCTGGTATAACCCAACCCTTACTCCTACAATTCGTTAACTCCCGTATTCTGCTTATTATTCACTGGTGTTGCCTCTTAGTTTTTCATGGGCTACTGAAGAAAGACTATACCTTATTACGCAGGATGTTAAAGGTTGTCAGCAGGGTAAGCTACGTGCCACTTAACCAGCTTGTTAATATTCTGGTTGACAGGCACATGGACTCATGTGAAAAATAGGCTAAATCTATTTTATCTAACTCACACCACCCTCTTCATTCAAAACTCTGCCCTTGTATCTCATCAGGCAGAACCGGAAGCCTATATAGAAAACTATATGCTCGCACTAGCAAGTACGAAAACTCAACCATACCCTACTTAGCTCGTGTTCTGTGCGATAAAGAAAGGATTAGGCGTGATACCTATAACTTATTAAATAGTCAGTAGAACAACTGGATCTCATCTTTCCAACTCATATCATTTATAGATACAACGTTTTCTTTCTTTGTTTTCCTTTTCTCTCTCTTTTTTTGTTATGTGCAGCTTTATTTATTTCTTCTGCTTACGCCAGTAAATATGCTAGCATCTACTTTTCTAACACCTTCAAACACTCCGTTCAATTTCGGCTGTGCTACTGACATGCCAATATGTTATCATAATGAACTGAGATTTCCTTAATCTATGTAGAATTTTATTTATTGATAATGTACTAACTGGATGCAATACTGTAGTAAAATGCTGAGAATTCCATTCTGCATCACAAGTACTGTTTTGGAATAAAGCAAATTATTATTATTCTGCATACATTTAGTTTCACTACGTAATTCTTCAACCTGTACAATATCTAACACGTCTTTATTCAATAGGAGTAATACGTCTTTCAGATCTAAATCCAGAATAAGTAGGCATATTTCTCGAACGACCGGTTCTGATGTGAGAGGTTGTGTTACCAGTTTGTTTAAGAATGATAAACCTCCAGAGTAGTACTGAAAACAGGTGGTTGCATCATTCAATTTTGAACATCAAAGCACTGTTCACTTTTGACAATCTTTTCTGTGCAGTTCAGCGTCTTCAAGATCTGTATTCAGCCCACTGAAGTCGAAAAAAACAGTTAGCATTTTCCTATTGCATCATGTCATTTAATCTTCAGATACTACTTGCTGCTGGGTTAAAATAACTTCAGAGACACCAATTAGTTTGGAAGAGTTCTCACACTGGAAGTGATGATTTCCTCCAAGTTCCTATCATGAGGTCTGATCTACTGGATCAGGAAGTAAGAGGTATGAAAGGATATTTGTGATAATAAGAAAGGGTTACGGTATTTCTCAAGATGGATGGAACTAAAAAATGCTCACTTGTCGTGTCCACTGGAGGAACTGAAAGACAACATGCATATACTGATAGGATGGAAACTGCACACTTCTGAGGATCTCAGAAATATACCGGAGGAACTATCAACTTTGAAGGGTTTTTCATTTATTCTAAACTGATGGAAAAACTCCATTCACCGGTATTATTTTTTGTTTTTTCTTGTTGATCGATAGCATAGCAGACGGTATTGTTCTGTTGTACAACGATTGGTTGCTTGCTCAAGTACAGCTGAATTCGACCAGTGAAAACAAAACGAAAACAACAACACGTGTTTTAGAAAACGTTACTGGTATTAATAATTTGGCGGCCGAACAAATGACTAATTTACTTGCACCGTGTAGTTCAATGGATTCATCAGAATCACACGAAGAAGATAAGAACAATGATGCTTACTATCTAGAACCATGGGCTATTTGTCAGACACTGACTCCGTTATGTGATGTAAAGTTTGTAAGGTGTATATCAAGCGATGATAGAAAGCATATTACACAGTAAGAATTTAAATTCACTTATGGTTATATATTCAAACATATGTATATATACACTGCCAAGGGAAATTTCCATAAAAAAATATCACAGATCTATGAAATTTGCTTCCTTTTGAAGTGTCACTAAATTCAAGACATAGATTTACATAGAAATCATTGTATAGCCAAAGTGTGCGTCAGACTAATTTGATTCGATGACGCAAATCTTATGTACTTTGGAGTTACGAAAGATGTGGTTGTCTGCTTTACCAATTAGACAGACATAAATGGATGAATGAATGCTGTCGTCTCTTGTTGATTACCTATTATCTTGTTTGGGGAAGATTCAGTGGGATTGATAAAAAGTCCGATTTTCCATTATGGATAAAATTTATTCTGATAAAGTCACACGGTAATATTTACTGATGACTTTTCAAACACAATTTATCCCTCATAATCATAATCAAGTCCGATTTTGTCTCATTCTGTCAACAATAACGACTGAATGAATGTGCTAAAATCTTTCAAGTTTGCCTTCGGTACTCGTCTTCCACACGTAGCCTAAAGTTATTGGGGTTTAGTCAAATAACTCTGGTTGGCATTTGTTAAATAAATCTGCTTCCCCTTTTTCGTATCACTGCCACGATTAAATTAATAACTGAACCTGGAAATTAAACCATATTGACTTAAACCTTGATTATCTGTCTATTTCATCTTTTGAAATTACACAACTTCTGATTTTATGAGATGCTGAAATATTCATATCATCTGGATACATTCATTATTCTTATGATTTCTTGTTTTAATTGCTACTACCAATGATATTACTAATATTTTCATTAATATTCCTATCCTTGCTTTACCTATTGGTTGCATCTCTGTATGTGTTTAGAGCTATTCACACTTGAAAGAAATAGGAGAAGGATGTTATTGAAGACAATATTGTTCGTCTATTTTTTTTAAATTTAAAAAATGGGATTTTTTTAATATTCTAATCTCTCTGGTCAATCTTCTTTGATTATTTTGTATGGCCGTTAGTTAATGTCGCTTTAAAAATCAACCAGTCATTTACATCTGTTCACAGCAAACAATCACTTAGAAAGAAGAATCAGTTTCAGTAATCCATGCATTTATGGTGATGAAATGTAGGTTGATTAGATTGGGAAGAAAAAGCCAATCTTATTTACTAATCTTTCCTCAGAAGGCTGATTTCAGACCTACCTCCATTTATTTGCATCACAAACTTTCATCAGTGATGGTAAGGGGCCAAGTACGTCCGTTGTACGTTCCTTCATTACACATCTGCTTTCGACTCTGTACCTAGAGGCCTTTTGTTAAACAAGCTTAGCCTTACACAAACTGAGTTCTGGGCTATCAACTGGCTGCACTCTTAATTCTCTAATAGAATGCAGTGCACGGTATATAATGGTGTAGCTTCCTCTCCTTTGCTTACTGAAGATGGAGTTCCTCAGGGCGCTGTTCTCTCTCCGTTTCTCTTTTCCTTCTTCTTAAATGGCTTACTTCTTTCAGACGAAATCAACTTCGTCAGATATGCAGATGACCTGACTGTTTCGCTTCCCATTAAGTCTCAGTCAGACTGTTTCAAATTAAATAGCTTCCTGTCGGACATCAGTCAGAGGTCTAAACTAAATGGCCTCATGCTGAATCCCTCAAAATACCAGACTATTGACTTCGTCTTTAGGCATAAACGAGATCTACAAACACTAGTAAGTACTCATGAAGCCTGTAGCATTGAAGGGATTAAAAGTGAAACTAAGTCTAACCTCGGACTAGTTCTATCTTCCGATCTTACTTGGTCATCTCATATCCAAACGATTTCTAAGAACATGTTCCGTCTAACCTACTACATTAAGAAACTCAGACTATCTGGAATCACCCAGTTTATACTTTCACAATTTGTCAACTCTCGTATCTTACCTATTCTACTTTACTGCTCCCCATGAGTCTTTCCTGAGTTACTTAAAAAGGACTATACCATCCTGAGAAGGATGTTGAAGGTAGTTAGTAGGACCAGTGGTGTAAAACTCAGTCAGCTCGTCACTGCATTAGTAGAAAGGCATCTGAATACATGCGAAAAATGGTCTAAAACCATACTCTCCAACCTCCAACACCCCCTCTATTCCCAAGTCTCTCTTTGTACCTCATCAGGTGAAACCAGAAATCAGTACAAAATAATATATGCTCGTGCAACCAAGTATAGGAACTCAACGATACCATATTTGGCCCGTGTTCTAATTGACAGAGACAATGCCAAGCGCGAAACCTATGACTTACTTTGTTGTTAATAACATAATTTTGGCCCTTTTATTTCTCCCTTATTCTCTCTTATTTGCATTCTATAGTGAACAACCTTCTAGAACATACTTAGCTACCTAAAATTATTAACATTGGCTTACTTTTTAAACTTTATTCTATTCCTTCTTTTGTGTTTCTACTGGTCCCGACTCTATTATCTCTATGAGTATTACAAAATTGTCTTGTCATTGACAATCACGTAATATTAGTATTGTGATTATTTTTTTGTTCGGCAATATTAACTGGCAATCTTGGTTGTGAACGCCGTTATCACCATCCTAAAATTTTTGCATTATGCATGATTACTCACACTACTACTACAAACACCGCATTAGAGCTGAAAATAAAAAGCCCTGAAATGTTTATTTTATGATTGTTGAGTGTTGTTCAATCAAATTAACTGATCATCTTGGCTATAAACGTTCTTAATAACATTTCATAGCTTCTTGTATGATTATAGCTGTCACTGTTCACCACGCACAAAAAATATCATAGCTTCCACTACCCAATACTGAAAAATTATTTATTATTGTTGTTTATTTTCCTTTCAACTTGGTATTTTTTGCATTTTTTGTTGTCGTTGTTGTTTTGAATATTTATTTCTTGAAATACTCCTTTTAAATGTGCGATGAAATTAAATGCAGTATTGTAGGTATATGCTGAAAATTCCACACTGTACCACTAGTACTGTTTCTGGAATAAAGCAAATTATTATTAAAATCGTCACTCAAATATGCACTTGTTGTATTCCAGTCATTTTAATTCTTACTTTTTCTTCAATTTTCTAGGTGCAACTGGGTTCATATGATAGAAGATTTACAATTTAAATTATGCCATTGTCCAACTCATTCCACATGGAGTTTGAATAAAACTTCCACATCGGCAGGTTGTCAGCCAAATAATTGTATTTCTGCACTATTGATTTACCGTATGCGAAAGCCTTCAGATTTAGTTTCTGCACAGTCGTTAGTTCCAAGAAAATCGAATTTTGTTAAAAATACTAAGAAACCATTCCCATTTCCTGGTAATACTCTTCTGCAATATTTAAGACCTGTGGGATGGAATGAAGAACCACTTGTTCAATGGTTCGGTAATGTATATACATAAATATTCTGCATCACATGCTGTTCATGTTGGCTTTCATTTTCTTAAATTTTTGGTTTGTTTTTATAATATGAAGAACAGGAATCGTCGTTTTAATTATAAGGCTGCAGAAGGTGGTTGGTTGGCTTAAATTGTAGTTCAAGTGTTGGTTTGTAGGGATTTGATTGGTTACAGGATTTCATCATGAGCTGACATTAGTTAGAGAACCACTGGAAGACCTGGGAGTACTGGACAGCTGTTTCTTCCTAGTTTGGGACTCTTCATCAGTACGCACTCCCCGGGATTCGAACCCAGGACCTTCTGATTACGAGGCGAGCTCGTGTACCATTAAGCCACTCTTTTGAACGTGTGGTAAGCTATAGTTTTAAGTCAGTAATTATACAAAAATATCATCATTAGCAGTAGAAGATAATTCTGAACAAACCTATCCTTACGACTCAACTTAGGGATCGAATACAATTAATCAGTACAGGTGAGGAATGGATGTTATCACTAAAGGCCTCTTAGTTATTCAAAACTTCTCAGTTATAAGCACCTTCGTAGTACTGCGTTTGAGGAAATCACCAAATAAGTAACATAGTAGTCATGCATTGATTCCTTATTAGGAAAGGTAAGTCGGTTAAGAGAGTCAAGGACCGAAGTGTTTTGACCGGATCATCTAGATCGATATGCTATTTCATTAGAGGTAAAACTAAATTATACGGTAGAAGAGGGTGATTAAACCAAGAAGTCATGGCGAACTATTAGGTCATTAACTGGTAATGAGGCATATAGTTTGGTTGATTGCGGTCTATGCAGCCACCAGAGTATATGACAATATATTCCATATACACTGACTCAGTGGTGATGATGCATTTATGAGTCGTCTTCATCTTATTCGTCATGTCATACTTGTTTATTTCCCTCGTCTTTTCTCCCTTCGTCTTAAAACGCTGAATGATTTTGAGTCTAAATATTATAATTTTCTGTTTTCAGTTTTATCGGTTTCTGTATGATGAACAGATTAGGTGTGGCAACTTCATAGGTAGGGCTCAGCTAACTGGAAAATCTACGAGTCACACTAATTGTGTAGTAAATGGTGATACTACTCACTTGTCCAAACTAAACTAGATGGAACAGTATGAGAAGGTGGAATCCATGAGCTGAAAATAGAGTGCTTAAGTGAATTGGACACTAATTTTTAAAACTTGAACTTTTACACTATACTGATGGTTCTAATGTTGTTAGTAACTTGCCTGTGCGACCTTATTTTGAATTTCGATATGTCACACATCTGCGTTGGTCTATATGAAAAGTTGAAAAACAGGGCATGTGAAACTCTGTTTTTTCTTGAAACAAACTCTTAAAGATGCTGATTCCATATCAATCTGTTGTTTACAGTTAATATGATTATGAACAACAAATTGTGTTTGAAACGTCACCCAGTAAATAATACTATCCCAGTGTGTGATATACCTAATAAACAAACTAATATGAAATTCCATACTACCATGGTGCCAAATTTTTACACATATTTTAAAGATGCTGTGTGGCAGTGTTAATCCATATATCGGAATGAAATATGAGAATTGAGGAGATCCTGTACTTCGCAGTTACCATCTGAAAATCAGTCTTGTGTATTTAACACTGTTCATTGGTATAAAATGGAAATTAAGTGAGGCTTAGGGGAGATTGGCTTTTTGCAGATTAAAACAGTGGTGTGCTCAAAGTCACCAAATTGCGTGTCGCTGCTGTAATGTAGGAAGACATTATACCTGGTGCACTTCTAGATTTATTTTTAACAGATCCCGCAGTTCTCTAACATAATATATGTTCATCTATTGTAGCACGTTTCGCCCTGCTAGATAAATAATAACATCAAGCTGTCTGTGGCTCATCAAAAAAATCACTAAATTATTTCTAGGATGAATTATTAAACAGTCTTAACAACTACCTAAACAACAGATGAAGAATACAGTAATTCAGTAATGTGCAGTAAGAAAAAAATACGGTTGTTTTAAGAAGTCAGCTGCCATTTTCATGTTTAGTTGATATAATATCTTCATATTAACTTTGATGCAGCTGCAATAGTTGTCAGAAGGCTTAATTCTCTTGGCATGATGTGAGTGTTAGTCATAAACTAACAAATAGTGTTGCTGTTGTCTATTCTCTTGATTGTTGCTGACAAATCTTACTCATTTCAGACTTAAATAATACGTTCATCATATATGTCCAAACCAAGTTCACTTCTAACGGTTTGAAAAAATTTGGGCATTGGGTATATGATATTGATTATAATAAAGGTTTTTATATTTCCCAATGAATGAATGTTTTTCATTCAAATACAAAAACCTTTATTATAATACATTCAACACTTTATCAAGTGACGAATTATGTGGTCGCCATTTATGTATAAATAGTTTTACAGTTTTCCATATTCAAACTTTTGGACGCTTAGTTAAATTAAATCAGCTTTCGACTCTGATTAGCTCTTTGTTTCGACTGCGGCTGCTAGAAATTATAGCGTCCCTGATAATTATCGTATATTTTTAATATTTTTCTTAAAATTATTCTCGTCAATTTGTGTAGATAGCATAAAGTTGTCACAAATAAACTACTTTTCACTTTTCACAATAAATTTTGCAGACTGTAATTATTTGAAGTCACATAAATCAGTAACTTTGGCATTCAATTCCTGTTGCATCACGGAAGACTTGAATTCCCTTATTTATCGTGCTAGGGTAAGACAAAAAGTTGGCGCCTATTTGCACTGGTACGAAAAGTATGGTTGCACTAAAGTAAGTCGTAAATACCTTACTTTCATGAATAGAGTATCATCTTGTCTTTTCAAGTAACACAGATAAACTTAATTTTATGACTATAAGAAACAAATAATTGGACCGTTGATTGTTAACTAACTGTACACAAAGATTTTATTTCGTTTGAAGTTTGGCAACAAACTACATAAGAATGTAATATCACTTGAAAAACAATGAAAATCCAACCAGAGTTAGACAACTCTATTATGTGAAACTGAGCCGGAAATCGCCAAATCACATTAAAGATGACAGAATTCAAAAATTCACTCACCTAATAACATCTTAAAGTTATAATTTCTAATTCGTAACACTCACTACCGTCTAAGCCGTTCACACAAATGAATCACTTCAATTCGCTAAACACTGAATAATCACATAAAACGAGGGGACAAGAAACACCACAGTAATATCATAGGAAAACAGGTGTGATGAAGAGGAAAGTGATGTTTAAAATTCGGGAAAGTTCATTCGTCCCACCACAAGCGATTTTCGGCAATGTCATTAAAGTTCTAGGTATTATATTCCAACGACCAAGACGAGACACTCCACGTCTCACTATGCGGCTCAGGCCAGTAGTCAATTACTTCAACGATTGGTCTGAATGCTCCTCTGCCTTCTTCAATCTAATCGTGAAACAGTTAACTTCACTAATACCTACCATAATACAAAATCGCATGCAAACAGCTGAAGAAACACATGTAGTCAAAAAGCGCAACATTGTGTTTCCTGCATTTAACAAACAGGTTTCCCAAATGGTACGGAATTGTAGTCAATAGGGATGATACAAGCTCACCTGAGTCAAGAGGAGCCTTTTTATGTTTCCCGAGATCCTGTTAACAATGTATTTGTCACAGCTGCGATTACCACAAAATTACTGACAGAATCTGAATGATTCCTCTGAAAAGGTGTGGTTCACACGACGAAATCTTAAGAAAAATCTTGTTCAAATTATTCTGGGTAATTTTAGAGTGATTCAATCTAACTTGGCACTCAGATTATTCTAGGGAATTCGCAACATATATGGTGTAGATATTTATAACAGCTGGTGTGGTATGTCACCTCAGATTTTTATGTGGGATGTTCAGACAGAAGTATAAAGTGACGTTTAGCATCCATAATAAACACCAATAACAGTTGGTACTTAAGGTGATAACCCTCTATATAATTCTAAGAGGTAGCAAGAATTCATATAGTATAATATGCATCTCTAGCACTCCTTTCACAATCAGATATCGCTACAATACTATTGTATTATCAAGGCATGATGTCACTTTCAGGTCAAGAAACAATACAAATGTGCTTCAAGATCTGTTGATTATTTTGAGTTTGTTTTTAGCCAGACACTCTAAGTAGCTGCATCACCATGGACTTAAAAATTCAAGACACTATATCAGTCAGGTTGTTCACCATAGGCCGTAACAGGAATGCCTGCCTTCTTCATTAAAAAAGTGGGAAATGAAGAATTCACACCATTAGTTTGAAGTTTCCTCACGTATGTAAACACTATACAATAATTTAGGCATTCTAGTCAATAAGTACATACCATAATCGCTGAATAACTCTAAAGTCCAAACACCAGATCCTGTTGTTGTACCTCTTCTTAGACTTGGGACCCTGCAATGTAAGATCAGTGGATTGGTAGTTCACTGGTAGCACGCTCTCCAACCACGAACGTGGTTTAGGTTCGACTCCCTGTCGATGCACTCCTAAACTTGGCTTAAGTGGTAAAGAGAGCGTGAGGCTAGTAACTGCACCCTGTAAAAATACCCAAACCGCTACTAAAATTATAGAGCTCAAGCTTGTAGCTATAGATTGCATTTGGAACAAAAAGGAGTAAACGAAATTAAATTCCATTGATGATTGTAAAATTAACCATTTATGGTCATTTTAATGAATATTTCAAATGACTGAAATCTGACCTGCTGTTAAGTTGATCGGCGTAATTTCTTTGTTTCACCTACTGCTAATTGTTGCGTGCGTTTTCTGACTAATCTGCTGTACACATATATTCTATGTATTTCTTCGCTCTTATTGATGTGCGCAGACGTTGTGGCTACTCGACGCCCACAACGTAAATCAAAAGGCACTTGTGAAGAATACGAATATGTATTGAAGCAGTAGTCAAATTCGAAATTGTGTCAAGGTAATAATCAACAGTCAATGGACAAATATTTGCGAAGTATATATAAAATCGGTCTGTATACACATATAATGCAAGTATACAAATTAGATTAAAAAGCATGTTTACAGTTGGTATAGGGGTACTACACAGTGAACAGCTAGCTGTAACTCACTTGAAATTTTCATTAAAGTCTTTTGTCTAAATTACCAATCCTGTCTTCGTATTTAAGAAATTCATTTATATATAAAAGTGTCACGTTTGGTCATCTTTAACAACACCACTCATAATAATCCTGTATAAAGAATAGGTGTCACCTTATGCTGATATAATTTCTATCCAAATGGGTTTAATCCCCTAACACTATTAGGAATCGTTGCAAAGAATCTAAATTAGTTTTGTTCTTGCTGTTTTCACTCCTCTCTATCTAAAAGTAAAGGGAACACGGACTTTGGCGCCCGAATATGGACCGAGTCGCGAACCTTATTTTAGACCTAAACTATGGTTGGATTGCGAAGGGGTTTAGCAGTAGTACTGAGAAGTTATCATCTTATTCAAATATATTACTTGCTTATATATGAGCATTAACTGATAAAGTGAGAGTAAATGTTCCTCTCATAATAACAGATCCAGTTTGCCTAATTTTTTAATCATAGGATAAGTGGGGTGGGGAAATAAATCTGTGAAATCAGGCCTATTCTCAGTCTAAGCAGTTGTATATTGACATGCATCTGGATTTTAGTAAAAACTCGAAAATGGACTGTATTCGTATTTACCGAAAAAATGGAGTTTTCAGCAGGCTGTCTATGCTGGGAAGCTGTGACCAGATATTTTCAGCAAATGAAGTGAATATCTACTTTCATTTAAATAAGTGTCTACTTTTATTCTGATTCTGAGTGTTGTATCTTGCCTCATATATTGTGTGGTTATGACTGTCCATGAAAATTCATGCAGTAACAAATAAGTATGATATGGTACTTTAACTGAAAATATAATCAACAGTGTCAATGAGATCACTTTAAAAGAGAGACTATACTGGATGAGAAATACAACAGGTTATGGCTTTTACATATTAGTTAGTATGAATAATCTGTTTGAACTGTTTTAATGTGCTGAGTGTTGTTAGTGTACAGTAAAATTATAATCAAAGCTGATACGTATATTTCTTAAATTGAAATAAATAATAATGACTTTATCCTAAGTAATGTTAGTCACCAATGCGTTTTAATAAATACCTCTGTTTTCTAGAAATTTCCGATTACTTCTTATAGAGATGATTGTGCTATGTACACGACTGTTATTAAAGGAATGGGAAGCTGTAAAATAAGTGTTTGAACATCTGAATAGTAGATACTTCAAGCAGTAACAAATCCAGGGCCTTTATCAATACATAAGTAGGTTGAAGAAAGTGATTGCAATGAAATGTCTGACGTTTCAGTGGAATGACCAGTTTTTATATTTTTATCAATTAGATCATTCCATTTTGTAACCCCGAAAACTTTACAGATTAAAAGACATTTTTTAGAAGTTATTAGATTATTCTATTGAATAATGAATAACTACATTTTTTTATATAGGACAACTTTGATGAAGCTTTCGAACAGTTAAAACATGTAATAGAAGCTTACAAGAATCTAATATGATGTGTAATTAAGTACTAAGGTGTTAACATGTGTTTTTCGTTATAACAATAATATATGCGTGATTAGGCGAATAACAAAGTTTTCAACATACAATCGAAAAAACGTACTATGCAATACCTCAGTACACTGTTACAATGTCAATAAAAGAAATAAAATAAACTTTAAAAACTAAATCCACGAAGTCGCATTTTATCTATTTCCTTGTTGGGTTGTGTAGCTGTACTATTCGAAGATTTGTCCTGTAATCAATACAGACCAACTCACATAGCTAACACAGAGTTATATACTGGTTGAAATTTAAAGGCGATAGATATTTCTCATACAGCGTAGTATTTTACGGGAGGTGAATAGACTCTAGGTTAAGCATGCAAATTCTTTCGTGTAGCTACGCATTCATACTCTCAGTTAATGACCCATGAAGAATGTAGTGTTAATTAAAAAATCAAGTGGTGAGTGAGATCTGGTTCTCGTAATCTGATTAGTAAGAAATTTTCGACTTGAAGCCGAGATTACATAAAGACTTCAAAATTTGAAGAAAATCAAAGACTTTCGATCCTGATTTGGTTACTAGTTGTAGCGGCAGGTAATTCCCTAGAGTTATTGACTACAGCATTCATCACTGGATACTGACCCTCACTGTCTAAGTTGACTTGTTTAGTTGAAGGCTTACGGTGAAGCATCCACGCCATCGTGTTACGTTAGTGCACGATCCCTAGCTAGTTAAGCAATCATCTCGCACTCAGATTTGGTCCCGAAATATGATTCATAATTTGAACGATCAATTGTCGGGTTTTGCTCTGCCTTTGGTCTACGCGGAACGAGTACTCTAGAAGTTGTGGGTATTAGATCTTGCGTTAGTATATTTCGTACAATCCTTGAACGTCAATACCGTCAGCCTCTAGAGACTGTTCGGATTATCAACATCTTTAATGTCTTGGTAATGCTCACGCATTAAATGGTTTGCTAAATTGCTGCCATCAAATTTGTTCAGGTCTTCATTTCACATAGCCTCCTGCCACCACTGAAAATTCTAGTTTGTTTCTACCTCTTTGAACTGCATGACTCTTTGGAAATCGTGTCTCAGCTAAGCCTACCACCTTTCTGAAAACTAATGAAAAAATTTTGCTACGGAAATATGATGCACCTCGAAGGCTGGGTCATTTATTTACGGAGTGAATTCAACATACAGTATACTTGATGTCCATGCTGCGACAAGTACTAGCAGCTGTGGACACACTAATTCACTGCTCAAGTTGGTGATTGACGATGTCTAGACTATCAGGCGTTAAACAAAAGACGCTGACTTTTGAGGGTCGTTATGTAGATGGAGTCCCGTTCCCATGAGGCGCCAAAATATTCATACCCTAGTATAAATGAAAATGTCGATTCGTAGGACATATCTACTTTTTCTTATTCGTTCATGTTGAATGTTGTCCGATGATACTTAGGTATTGTTTTAGAAACATACGCTCAAATGTTTTGGATACTATAGTTGTAGTGCACCTCCATAACGCATGTCTTTCTGAGACATCTCCAGAATGTCATCGACAGCAGAGTTACGGAAATGGGGACTGAAAAACCTTGTCTAAGCCACTGCTGCCTGAAAACAGTGAGGATAGATGGTTACGTGTCCTCGTTGCATGTGAGGTGTTTCCGTAAAGCTCTTTGCGGACTTTAACAAATTTATCTGGGACACCTGTTTCCAACAGATAGTTCCAGAGAGCAATTCCGTCAGCTAATCGAAGGCAGCCCCAACATCGAAAGACATGGAAACTATCGGCATGAAATCCGTTGATAGTGTTCTGGCAACTGCTGATGGGTGAACGCATGGCCAATGCATCCACTCCCAGAAGAAAACCTGGCTTGCCATTCTGGGACCAGTTTCTCACGCGTTTTCCACAGCCCGTGAGGCAGTATCCAATATTTTAGAAATAACTGGTAACAAACCAATATGCCTGTGACTGTTACAGGTATTGAGTAGGCTCTTTCTAAATATTGACATAATAATGGCTTCGTTCCACAATGATGAAACATTCTCGTTTCCTCAACTTTCCATCATCTTTAAACGGAGTCAGAGATAGGTTGTCCAGTCTTGGCGCCTCAAAGGGTCTCAGCACTTGGGGTTTCTTTCGAAGCTTCACTGAGTTCGATGGGTCAGTTTCTACTGCAAACGGAGCACTGTAATTAATGATGTGTGGCGACTGACAATTTCCATCTCTGTATTGTTTAAAATACTTACTGTTGACTGTTGATATGTTTCTTATATGAATTGCATAATAATTCCGCTAAATACAAATTCCTGAATTCCGCCCTCTCTGTGTTTTGGTTGGATTCGTGTAATTCGGTCATCTCGAAATACTAATACTATGATTACAAATAATTAAAACAAATTGGCGTCGCGATGGAACTAAATAACCTGGGAAAATTCCTCATTAATGGGTCTCCGCGGGAGATTGCTGATTATTTGGAATGCTTCGATGCGTGGTGCATTTCAAAGAATGTTCGGGTTGACAAAATACCAGCACATTTCATTACTACTATTGGACCAGATGCATATAGCCTGGTGAAGAATCTGGCGTTTCCAGATAAACCCATTTCTCTGTCATATGACAAGATCCGTGAACTTCTGATACATCACTTTCATGTAACTACTTTTGAGACCAGAGAGAGGGCTCACTTCAACAAACTGGTACGTTCTCCCAACCAGAAGATTCGAGACTTTATTCTTCAAATTCAAGCCTCAAAGTGTAACTTTGGAGATCAGCTGCATACTCAACTACGTGATCGTCTAATTGCTAGCTGGAATCAATATTCCTAAGTTAGAGAAAGAGTTAATTCAGATTCCTTCTTGTACGTTTCAAACTGCTAAAGATTTATGTATTACATATGAAGATGTCAATAATGAATACTCTGCTCCTACTTCGTCAGTGTCTGATGTTATGCTTTCTAAAGTCGAAAATACAAATGTTCATGGAAAGCAATCCAAACTGCCGTCCACAGGTAATAGAATGCAGCGAGAGATCAAAAACATTAAACCGTGTTTTTCCTGTGGAAAGTTACATCTTCGAAGCACTTGCCGTTTTCGGGGTGCTAAGTGTCACAAATGTGGTAAAGTTGGACACATCAAGACTGTTTGCAGAAGTTCGAGTACTTACGTTGCTCAACATTCTTATAATTCTCCCAAGCTGTCTAGTAAAATGGAGTCAATGTGTCTTTCAACCTTTCAAAATACTCAAGCTAATCCGATGAAAACCTCCACTACAAGTTCAACAACTCAAGTGGTAACTGTTTTCAAAAATGAGGTAGCTGAGTTACAATGTGAACTGTCGAAAACACGAAAAGACCTGAATGAGATGAGAGAGCAACTGATTAAAATTGAGGAATTACTGCATATGCATAGACTGCGTCTGTCGAATGCAGATCATACAAGTACCCGTGAAAGTCCTGCAAAACTTTTCAAATCTCGAATTCTCAAAAAGCATCTGATGTCCACGACTTCTAATGTACATTATTACAAAGGGAATGATTATAGACCTTCTATTGGTATCATACTACAAAGAATGGGAAATCGAGTGGTGAAGATATTAGACATCAAAGATCACTCAGTTCATAACGGACACCTGGACAAAGTGACAATAAATGAAGTAGGTCGTTCCAATTATAATATTATTGATTCCGCTAATAATCCTGATTTTGTAGATAATTCAGAAATAAGTCCAGATAACAGTGATGAAGATAATATCACGGAATCAGTTAGGTCGCAGCTACTTGCAAGAAAACCGAGACATCGTTATAAATACGCGAGGAGATATTCGAGGTGTGGCGGATGTGGTGATTGACAATTTCTATCTCTGTATTGTTTAAAATACTTACTGTTGACTGTTGATATGTTTCTTATATGAATTGCATAATAATTCCGCTAAATACAAATTCCTGATTTCTGCCCTCTCTGGGTTTTGTTTGGATTCTTGTAATTCAGTCATCTCGAAATACTAATATTCCTAGTACAATAAATTACTACATGATGTTAGATGCTAGCGCAGTTGCCCGGTCAAAGTTCCTCCTGAAGCTCTCTTTTCGGGTTGGTAATTAATGTATCATGTACCTCACCGACGGTCTCTGTAACACCAAGTTTCTTGTTGCCAATGGCTTGGATGAACTAGAACATTTTCCTACTATTGCCCGATGCAGCTTCTGATATAATCCCACGAGCACATTTCGATTACCAGACTTAGCTGTTCCTACGTAAACGCTATATCAGATTTAGTGTAAGCCCCTTTTATGTCTTGCTTAACTTCTTGTCTACCGGGATGCGCTGCTGCTCATCTGGAAGTCTCAGAAATCCAGCGGTTTGTAGGGGAACATTATTTCAAGCCACAAGCGGAACCGCTTACCATCTGAATAATGTCCTGCAAGTTTAGTTAATATTCATGTACACTGTTCGGAGGACTGGTAGCTAGCCCTGACGTGAACTTAGGTAAAGTATGGATATAAAACCAGCTGTTGCTAGTGATCTCGGCCAACAGTGGGTTAGACAAGGTTGTTTAGTTTCTCCAATCCTTTATTAACCCTAATATCGACGAAAATCTGTAAACAACTCTGAAGAATATGCGTTGTGTTGGGGAAGATACCCTCACTGGGGAATGCTTTTTCAATCCCAAATATGGAGATGATATCGTCTCACTGTACGATTGCATTCATATTTCTCCGAATCAGTCGGCGATCAGTGTTTGTATGTATCGTTTGTACATCGCCCGAGTGCAAGGTACTACTTCAAGATTGACGAGAGCCTTTATCTGCACTCACTCTTGAGTATGAATTGCTTGATATCGCCGACGAGTTTGCGTATAGAGGCGGTTACATGAGTGTTGTCGGTGGCGTGGCAGACAAAATCTCTAATCCTCTGCTGGAAACTAAAATGGCATACGTCAATGCTTCGGTGCACTCAGTCTTGCCCCACATCTGCGAAACATATCCTCTCCTAGCTGTATCCGACAGTT